CTGGAGTGATGAGTCCTCCAATGCCATCCTGCAATTCCTCGCCAAAGGACAGATAAGTTCTTCTGCAATTGACTGGAAAAGAATCCTAGGCTGTTTCAACACAGAGAACTATGAGACATGCCCCTAGGCACAGATGAGCGAGTGCAGAAATGGTGTGGACACAGTAACAGGGGTAGGGCTTTGCTGTGGGAATGCTCAGACCTGGGCTAGGCTAGCCCAGAGACTCAGGCCCAGATGCCAGTCACCCAGGTTACCTCTGCAGTGAAGACACATCCCTATAGTGGAAGCTGAGAGAGTCAGGGCTATTTAAAAAAAACAAACAGAGCATGTGAGGCAAGGCCTAACTGACTGAGAGTTGAATCTTACTGCATAACAGTTGAATCTTACTGCATAACAGTATCCCGTTTGTTCACTGACTTGGCTGAGGTAATCTCTCTAAGGTACCAATTAGATGTATAGGTATAGAGGGGTTAGGCACAGACTACCAGCTTGTGGATCAAGCAGAAATTTTGGTCGTCAGGAATGGTACAGACGAATATAAGCTTGGCATGAGCTCCAATTCACTCCAACTTTTGCTGAAAACCCTCCGACATCCCAGCATGAGGCAACCATAAAGGGTTGTTACGAGGAGGAAGGAGAAAAATTGTTCTCCTTAACCTCTGAGGATAGGACAAGAAGCAATGGGCTTAAATTGCAGCAAGAGTGGTTTAGGTTGGACATTAGGAAAAACTTCCTAACTGTCAGGGTGGTTAACCACTAGAATATATTGCCTAGGGATGTTGTGGAATCCCCGTCATTGGAGATTTTTAAGAGCAGGTGAGACAATGGTCTAGACAATACTTAGTCTTGCCATGAGTGCAGGGGACTGGACTAGATGACCTCTTGTGGTCCCTTCCAGTCCTACGAGTCTACGATAATCAAAGAGCTTCACCTCTGGAATCAGTTCCCAACCAGACTGTGTTACAGCTCCGCTACTGGCTGGAAGGGAAACATTTGGCAGACACTCACTGCATCCACACTACGCTACTTTTGCTGAGGTTAATCTATTGGGGAAAATTGTGACTATGTTCCCCTCTGGGGTCAATAGGGTTTGTTTTGGATGTACTGAAGGAAAGGTAAGGAGTTAATGTCTAGATCTAGAGTTACAGAGGCATATTTATTATAGGTTTCATCCCATCCCATGTTAATTAAGGACATGCTCATATTGCTAGGAGAATGGGGAAGCGGTTATATGGTGGCTACTTCCTGACAGGACAATACACACTGACAGCATGTAATCTCTGGCCAAGTTCTTGAAATGACCGGTACTTGGATCGTTTATGTGGGTCACAATTAGCTAAATCTCCCTAAGCAATTTATTCCAGTGCTTAACTACCCTGACAGTTAAGAAATTTTTCCTAATGTCCAACCTAAACCGCCCATGCTGCAATTTAAGCCCATTGCTTCTTGTCCTATCCTCAGAGGTTAAGGACAACAATTTTCTCCCTCCTCCTTGTCACAACCTTTTATGTACTTGAAAACTGTTACGTCCACTCTCAGTCTTCTCTTTTCCAGACTAAACATGTAAACAAATCCAACAGGATTAAGAAGGTCTAAAAACCCGAAGACTACATGCCTTCAAATTCCTCAGATCTTCTTTCTAAAGCAGGGAGTTATTGTTCCCTTTCTCTAAAAATCTCCCCTACAAATGTATCTATTCTCCCTACCATCTCTGAAAGAATGCACAACCCTAGTCAGCTACCAGACATCATTAGTCAGAGGATTAAACCTCCCAGTTAGAGGAAGATAGATATGAAAGATGGTGAATTGGGAGGTAAAAGGACCCTCCAGTAGAGTCCAGGGGTCACAGCTCCAGTGCCTCCTACCTTTTCCCATGAACAGGAGAGCTAAAGCGATAGGATTTTTGCCAGTTTAAGTGTTGCTCAAGGGATCTAAGCAACAGCAGAGAAATTGAGCAGAATCTAGTCTGTTTTACTTGCCTACTGCTTGAAGACTATGAGCAACAGCAGATGCACTAGAGATGATGGAAGGGTCAGGAAGCAAGTTTACATTGGTTTATATCCCAGTCACATGTGGAACATAAATCAAAGACTATGAACTTTCTTTTACTGAAAGATTATATTCTGCAAATGGTTCATCTCTCTATGCTCTTATACAGGAGCCCATCATCATGGTATCTGAGCAGCAGCCACGACTGAGACTTTGTCTACACCAGCACTTTGGTCAGCAAAATTTTTGTCGGTCAGGAGTGTGGGAAAAAAAAACCCACGCCCCCGACCGACAAAAACGTCGCCAACAAAAGCACCACTGCGGACAGCGCTATGTCAGTGGGAGATGCTCCCCCGCTGACACAGCTACTGCTGCTCATAGAGGGTGGCTCAATTATGCCCGTAGCAGAGCTCTCTCCTGCCGGCACAGGGCAGCTACACAAGAGACCTTACAGCCATGCCGCTGCAGCAGTACAGCTCTGTCGCTGTAAGGTCTGTAGCGTAGACACACCCTAAAAATCTTGCTCCCTCCCACAGCAAGCGGCAGGCAGATGGTTTGTTCACCAAGTTATTACTGAACACAGACGAGTGGGAGTCTGCATTTGAGGTAGAGCGGTGGGAAAGCCTGGGTGAAAGGTTGGATTCTGTGTTTCACTTTAAACTCACTGAGCAATGAAGCAGCTGACCAAAGAGGAGCTGGGATCCTCTGCTCAATGGGGAGCCAGTGCAGAAAGCAGAGAATGAGGGGAAGCTTCCCCCTCTCCAGTGGTGATCAGGGCTTCAGAGCCCCACATTTGTAGCACTGTGCGTCCATATACACTATTTAATAGGCTAATACTTGGCACTCACACAGCACCTTTCAACCACAAATCCCACAGTGCTTTACAGATGGGGAACCAAGGTACAAATGTAAATGACGTGCCCATGGCCTCAGTCAACTAAAATCCAGTTTTCATGAGTTTCCCAGGCCCCATCTGCTAGATCACAGCTACCCATCCCCACCCCAATCAACATTTGCACAAGGGCTTTTGTGACTTAAGACATTCACACTGCAGTCCTACATAATTTAGGTTCTGTGAAGTTTTGGGGTGGTGTGATGGGGTGTGCTCCCCAGACAGGTCCTGAAGGGGCTAATGTGGGACTGAGAGGCCAATTATGTTATCTGGGTGCACCTGGAGAGAGAGCCTGGCTTAACTGATCATGAAACTCAGGAGTAGGCTGGTCAGCATAAAGCCAGGAAGTTGAGTGCAGAAGAGGGCTGCAGTGAGGGCATGTGCAATCATTCTCTGGGAGCAGTAAGGTGATGAGTTGGAAACCCAAGGGGGTAGAATAGCCCCTGGAATCCTAGCTTCTGAATAAAGGGTCAAGCCAGAGAAGTTGTGGGGAAGAACACCAGAGAACATTGAGTCGGAAGAAGCCTAAAGAAAGAGCAGGAAGGAATGGCACTGTGCAGACCATGGCTGCTGGTTACAGGGTCCCTGGGCTGGAACCCAGTGTACATGGAGGACCTGGGTTCCCCTACCAGCCACCAGGAAAGTGGCACAGGACCTGGAAACTTGGAACCAAAGACCATCTGAGGCAGAGTCCGGACAGCTAGTCCAGTGGGATTTTGTTACCCTAGCAGGGGATGACTATATAGTGACCTGGCTGGAGGGCCGAGTCATGAAAAGGAAGCACCCCAAGTCCCGGAGAGAGAGTGGGGGGGACACGGTGCAAGCAAGTGATGGAAAGGAGCACCAGACAGGTCAAGAGATAATTCCCAGACCCAACCACAAGGAGGTGCACTTGCAGTGAGCAGAACACTTTAACAGATAGATATAGTTCATGCAGAAGACTAAACAGAGATATGCTGTAGGACTGAAAACTATATAATGTGTTTACTGTCAAGCGTCACTTGTTTCCACATCTTAATTTGCAAACAACAGCCAGGAGCACACTGTGGTAGCACTAAGGTATTTCAATTAGCCAGGAGCAGTTTAGCTGGGCTGTACTATCAAGAGTAAGTAGAAAGCTGGGGCACACATGTTGCTGTGGACTGGTCTGTGAGGGTGCTGCCAGTGGGGCAGGGCAGGGCAGGTTTTTCAATCCTGAAGAACCAATACTGGAGGTTTCTGACCAGCAGATTAATGAGATGCAAGGAGCTGTAGAAATGACACTGCAGCTGTAACTGCACGCTACCTCAACAATTTTTTGCTTAGAGATGATTCACCAGCAAAGCTGTGGCCAATAAACATAAGTAGACGCAATCATTCTGTGGCCAAAGAATATATTTTTCTTTGTGAAAGGCAAAGGGGCTTATGGGAGTGCACACAATTTTGTGTGCGTGGGGGTTGGGGGTGTTACTGCAAATTTGGGGAATACTGCAATTTAGTTAGGGTTGCTCTGAAATGCACACAGGAGTTTTTGATGGGGGATAAGAATGATTTCTACAAGTGCTGAAGTCAACAGGATGACAATTTAAAGCACTGAACTTCATTATGCAACACTGAAGAAAAGGGCCAATAATTACAGCAGGGGCAGCTTTTAGGAAGGGACAAAAGGAAGTGAGAGAGGCAGCAAGAAATAAGAAGCTGGTGGGGGAAAAAACAGGAGTCATTTTGCGGTTTCCAGCAGGAGCCGATTAACATGAAGTCTACTTAGTTTCACAGGAGTTCAGCTGTGCCTGACCCAGGGCCCTCCTCCCACTTTTTTAATTTTACAGCCACATTTTCCTGGTTATGAAGATGTTTGACCCCCTCTCCCCATTTCTCTCTAAATTTTTCCACACAACTCAGGATAGAGAAATTGATCAATACATATGGTGCTGGGGAAAGTACAGAATAAAAGTGAAATGGATTAAAACAGCTGTTTAATCTATTCCGGTTAGAATCATCACTTTATAAGTATCACAAGGAACAGCTGTAGGTGACAAAACTAAATCTCAGAGAAGTACATAAAAAATATAGTATACGAAACTGACTGTGTCCCTTTAACACCCAGTAATTACAAAGTTGTTTTGTAAGTACAACTTACCCTGACATGAAAGAGCTCCCCCGCACCTTCACAGTCATTTGACGTAATTATAGGGGTATGAACGTGCACATAGCCATTATCCTGAAACAGAAAGCAGATAGAAAGTTGCCAGTCCAAGGATATTATGTGTCAAATCCAAGGAAGATTTCAAAATGCACAAGTGAGGATGCATCTACCAGCCCAGGACCAAAGACAACATGTGTAACATTTTAGAATCGCTTCTACGTTATGTGAGAGATACCATGGCATGTGCTAAACACTAGCTGGATTTCTGGAGCATGCAAATTTAGTGCCTGATGCTTCAGTGTTCACACTATAGAACAAACCCTGCAGAGGGGTCTATAATCACAACAATTCTACCATATGAATAGAGAGCTCCATTACTTACTAGTCCACAGTGCCAAAATCTCTGTAGGAAACAAGTATTTACATCTGAAAGCCTGAGAGAAAAATAAAGGCCACTCAGGCAAATGAGACTACGGAAAGAGCACATTTAGACTGTAGGCAGAAGGGACCACTCTTCCTGTGCAGCTCCTAGCACAATGCAGCCCAACTGTGGTTGGGTCTCTTGACACAACAATAATAAAAATAATGTCAGCTCCACATTATTTACATATGCAAACCCCTATGAGTGCACCTATGCAGGGCTCTAGGGGCCTTTCAAAATATAAACAAAAACACACACAGCAACCTCCCTGAAACAGGGAGCAGAATACCCACCCCTCCAGCCATAAATCCCATCCTTCAGCACATCCTTCCTCCCACACACAGTCTGGGAAAATAAATGGGATTTGCAGCCTGCCCTAAATGTCAGCAAATTGGGGCTATCTGAACCAAAGAATTGGGGGAAGGCAGGGGCACGTGAATTCGAAAAGTTCAGGGCTGGTGTACAATACATTTTACAAGAAGACATTTAAAGTAACAGGTAGGGAGTAGAGTTTCTAAAGGCCAGTGTAATTTATGGCAGCTACCACCATTAAGCTGGCAGCAGAGTGCATTTCACCTTAGCAGACTTCCTCCCTGGTTTAGGAAATGCCTGAGAAGCAGGGTTCATCATAAGGGTGCCCAGAACCACAGTGTCTCCCCCCGCCCCCCAGAGACTTAGCACAGTTTCCATTATCAAACTGCAAAAAATATTATGGTAACATCAGTGGCTCTGCCATGAACCCACAGCAGCAGTGGAATTCAGAGCTCAGAGGAGATATTCATGCTGCATACGCTTCACTGGGTAGGTCTAAACTGCAATTAGACACCTGTGGCCGGCCCATGCCAGCTGATTTGGGCTTGTGGGACTCAGGCTGCAGAGCTGTTTAATTAAGATGTAAACATTCCAGCTCGGGGAGCAGTCCAAGCTCTGGGAACCTCCCACTTCGCAGCCTGAGCCTGGACATTTACACCACAATCAAACAGCCCCACAGCCCGAGCCCCATGAACCCAAGTCAGCTTGCAAATGCCAGCTGTGGGGGTCTAATTGCAGTGTAGATATACCCCCTGTGTCTAGGAGCATAGGGTCCTTAAGGCTAGGAGGAGTATTCACATCTCACAGGTAATGAACTACCCAAGGGTAAAGTTAAAGGTGGGTTGCTAGCCTTAGACATCCAAAGCAAAAATTATAGCGTTAATCAGGCACTGTCAGGTGAAAAAGTCCTTGGGATAAGAGCATTTTTAAAAAATGAAAAGAAGCTTGGCCTACTACATGATTAGTTAAAGATCTACTGTTTACATTTTAGCTTTATGCTCTTTTTCATTTTCAGTTTTGCACAATGAAAACAGACTAGTTAGTTTCATTTTCCAGTTCTTGTGCACAATGCTGTAATGTTTGGACTGCAAGTACGGCATGGGAAGATTTGGATTCTTTTTTAAAAAAGGTCATTTCCACTGGATCACAAAGAAATAAAATAAATTAGACATGTTCTTATTGGTCTGAGCCTTTGCAAAAGCTTATTTTTACAAATGTCTAAGTTTGTGGCCAAATTTAACCTTACGTTCATTGTTCCTTTAAAAATCCATTCAAGTATCATTAAGCATCTAGCTTCAAAATATATATCACGTTAAGCAGAAGAACTCCACATGAAAAATATCACAATATTGAAAATAACTACAGGCGAGGTATTTGCTTTAGCAACAGTAAGATATAAACATCTTACCAGAATTTCATGCTTACTGGTAATTCTAACAGCATTTTCCTATTGCTCTTTAAAACCTCCTTCAGGATAAGATGTTCTTCAACATCCATCCACGTCTTCTGCAACCATCCGAAGTCAAACTATTGTGGGTATTGCCATCAAGTGGGCAAACACCAGTACTGACTTTCCTTAATGAAGTGATGATGTAGCGCTGTTGGTCCCAGGATATGAGGGACAAAGTAAGTGAGATAATATTTTATTGGACCAACTTTTGCTGGTGGAAGAAGAGCTCTGTATAGCTCAAAAGCTTGTACCCGTCCCACAAAAGAAGTCGGTCCAATCAAAGATATAAGCTCACCTCCCTGGGCTTTTTCTTAACCAAGTCTGTCCTATAAGTAAGGCCACAAATGTGTCACTGAGGTGATGGAAATCACAGAATCCGTAAATTCCTTTGACCTCCGTGACACTTTCTGCCTGGGGCTGGAGCTCCCAGCCAGCCGCCCCACCCTGCAGTTCCCAGACCCCACCCTAGTGGGGACCCCCTGCAGCTGCCCAGACGCGGCGGGTGGCTGCAGGACCCTACAGCTCCCAGCTGCAGCAGGGGACCACCCTGAGCTACCAGCTGCCCCGGGGAGCCATGGGGACCACGTAGTAGCCCAGCCCCCATGGGCAGGGGAACCCCAGAACTCCCACTCCCCACAGCAACAGGGGACCTGAGAGCCCCAGCAAGAGTGGGTGCTGAATCCACCTCCCCATTTTGTCAGGGATATTTTTAGTGAAAGTCAGGGACAGGTCACAGGCTTCCATGAATTTTTATTTATTGCCTGTGACCTGTCCCTGACTTTCACTAAAAATATCTGTGAGAAAAACGTAGTCTTACCTATAAGCAGCTGTTACAGTACAGAAATTAACAGTAGCTTTAACAGGCACAATATTTTGATGTTAAAGCAATCCTAAAATCCATACGATATTGCACAGTACTCTCTTGAGAAGGCTATGCTTGGCTTAGTGATCTAAGTATCAGATTTGAAATACCAAGGCTCTCTGGAACTATACCTTCAAATTACAGGAGGTCTGATTCATCCTTTTATGACAGTAAACTGCCTAATAATCCACAGGTCTAGTTTTGGAGGAAGAGTGCTTGGCATGTAGTTTTAACTCACTCAAGCCATAGACTTTAAAGCCAGAAGGGATAACCAGATCTCACGTAGACCACAGGCCACTTGCCCATTAACCCAACAACTGAAATGAGACCAAAGTATTACAGCCCACAGGAGACTAGACCATAATGTGCTGCAGACAGACAACAGGAGGGATCCAGGTCCACAAGTGCCTGAGGCACCTGCAATGGGAGGGAAATGATTAAGTGAGATATATCCAGACAATCGTGGCAAATGACCCACGTCTTGGAAAGGAAGGTGAACCCTGCCCCTCCGATCATTGCCAATCTGAGCTGGGGAAGATTCCTTCTTGACCCCATAGATGGTGATGAGTTAGACACTGAGCATGTGAGCAAGAACCAGCCAGCCAAACACCTGAAAGAGAGAACGTCTGGTGCCCCCTCAGAGCCTGGCCCTCCCCATCCAGTCTCCCATCTCCAGCTTGGGCCAACTCTGCTTGAGAGGAAGGAGATAAACAAAACAAAACAAAACCAAATGCATGGGGGGGGGGGGGGGAAGAATCCCTTCCTGAATCCCTCTCATTGGCTCCAAGGAAACATATTGTACGGATCCAAGAGGGAGGCTCATTTTAAGACAGCGCTTTACAGGCAGCGGTAGTGAGAGCTAAGGGAGAACTCAAGGGCTCCAGAGGACTCACCACCCTTTTCTCCACTAACAAAGTAGGAGCTGTGGTCCGAGTTTAGGATTGGGAGCCAGGAGCTGACAAATTCTAACCCCAACATTGCCATTGTTTGTACGTGCTAGGTCACGTCACTAATGGCCACGCTTCCAATGAAGCGACCACCAAATTTGGGTGCCTCAGTTTCTGGGTATCCAAGCTAGGAGAACAGGGGCTTCATTTTCAGAGGTGCTGAGCATCCACAACTACAACAGAAATTCAGGTTAGGAAGCGAAGAACACAGTGACGTGGCCAGGTGGAAAAAACAGTGGGAGCGGAGATTAAAAAAGGCGCCACCCCGCGGCACTCACCCGGCAGCGCTCCGGGTCTTCAGCAGCACTTCGGCGTCGGGTCCTTCACTCGCTCTGAAGGACTGCCCACTCCGCCACCGCAATGCTGCCGAACACCGGAGCGAGTGAAGGACCCGCCGCCAAAGTGCTGCTGAAGACCCGGAGCGCCGCCGGGTGAGTACCAGGGGGTGGTGCCTTTTTTTTTATCTACGCTCCCCCTGACCTGCCGCCGAAGACTCGGAGCGCCACCAGGTGAGTAAAAATTTAAAAGGCGCCAAGTAATTAAAAAGGCACCACTTGTGCTCGGTGCAGGAGCGGCCGCTGCCCCGCTCCCTGCCTAGCTACGCTACTGGAAGAACAGTGTATCCAACTGAAACTGCACTGACAGCTGAAGTGGAACAATCCATTACTACACAGGGAAAATAGGTTCCTTAGTACACTGTGTGTAGAAATCCGACTATTAGCTTTGAATGCTGCTGTTCCATGGAGGACTCCCAGCTCAAAGGGAACATAAACAAGTCCCATGGTAGAGCTGTAAAAGGAAGCAGTATCTCAAGAGACTGAAATGACTGCTCTTTACTCTGTATTAGCTGCTCTTTGCATGGACCTACCGATTTATTTCCTGAATCTTATTCCAGTTTTCTACAGTCAGGATAGATATAGAGACAAAAGTTTCTACATACAATGCAAGGCAATAATAACTGGAAACGACTGGTATTTGTTAGGAGTTAGTTTTTAAATGGCCTGAGTTCTCCTGCACGTCAATTTCTATCTGTCCTGATACAGTTATTGGATGTGTCTACCATGACACTGCACCCCATAGTCATCATAGTGGTATGATTATGATATTTTATGACCTATAATTATGTCATGTGAGGGGTCATTGGAAAAGTTATGATTTGCTGAATATGTTTATCATATTTGTATGCATTATCATTTTTGTATCTGAAGTTGTGAATATTGACTAGGTATCTGTATCTCAAATGTGCTTACACCTTGGTGACACCCACTAGGCAAGATGTTTCCAGTCTACACAGCTGGTTGTGAAGGGCCTCTTCAACGTAATGGGCCATGAGGGGAAACAATAGCCCTTAGGAGCAGTTTATCCCCCGGCCTGGTGAGCCTTCCTGTGAACTTTTCAGCTATCTTATAAGTAATGGCTGCTATGACTCAGCAAGGCATGCAACCAGACCACATGACACTGAACTCCATATTGGTACCTGTATTTTTCCACAGACTGGGCTGGGAACTTAGCTGAGAACAAAGGGTTCCAACCATATGGAAAAATTATATAAGGTGGGGAGTGACATCTCAGGGCCTCACTCCCCACGCAAGAGAACACCTGAGGAACAAAGACTGAACTGGGGGAAGTGCTGGTCCTAGGCTAAAGGGATTTCTAGCCTGTGTATAAAAACTTGGTGGACTGCTTGTATCATCAGGCAGGGAGAGAAATTGCTAATTCAAATCCTATCTATCTAGTATATTAGGCTCAGTTTGCATTTTTGTTTATTTGCTAGGTAATCTGCTTTGATCTGTTTACTATCACTTAAAATCTTTCTGTAGTTAATAAACTTATTTTATGTTTTATCTTAACCAGCGTGTCTTTAAGTAAAATGTCTGGGAAAATCTCAGGTTTGGTTAACACTAGCTTGTTGTGCATATCTTTCCCACATTGAGGGGAAAGCAAACTATACTAATGAGTTTGCGTTACACAGATCCCTGTACAGTGCAAGGTGGTATAATTCTGGGTTTATACACCAGCAAGGGTGCAAGGCTGGGGAGCTGGGAAATTGGCAGTTGTCTCCTGTTTGTCCTTGAGTGGCTTAGATAAAGCACTCAGGTAGCTCATTTGGGTGTGTGGCGCCACCTGCTGTCATGTTGGGTGATAACAGGGCCTGGAGATTTAAAATAAAAATGTATTTTATTCAAAAAACCTAGAAAGTGCTCAAAATTAAAACATTTCATTCGACCTGAAATGATTTTCATGACCTCAGGGGTCAAAGTATGTGGGGGAGAAAGAGGGAGAATAGTGGTAACACTTCCGGCCTCTGCCCACAAAACATAGAATCTGGAATAGTAAAGGTATGTCTACTCTGCAGCTGGGAGGCGTAGCGGTTAGGTGAGCGTAAGTACGTCACGCAGGGGTGGGGATTTTTCACACCACTGAGAGACACAGCTATACTGATATAAGTTCCCAGTGCAGGCCGGTCCTAAGTCAGTGTCAGAACTAGGAACCGAACTTCAGAGACCCGATTCCATGTCTCCCACTGTCACCCATTACATAACTGCAATGGGAAGGTGGGAGTGTTATGTGGCACCATCATTTGTATATGTGAAAACACAAGTAACAAGATCAAGTGAAGAAGCAGAGCACCTTGAAAAATGAGTGAAGCGCTGCAGTAGCTTCACTGCGTACCCTCAGCAGGGAGCTCAGTGTGTTCGTCCTGCATCGTAAGTGAGGGAACTGCCGGCTGTATTCCAGAGGTTGCCTCTCTCTTGGTTTAAAAGGGAACATCTAAAGAAAGGACAGGAAAAAACCAACCCTGAGAACCTGCAGTTAGAATAATTTTACAGATATCCATGAAATATTGTCACTGACTATTAAAGTTCAATAATAATAATTGAGGCAAAATAATACTTGTTATTTTTTTTCCAGTTTACTTTGTGGATTTTACAAAGACAGGCAGAAAGAGAATGAACCACAAGGGACAGATGCTGATCACTTTTGGAAAATGCTCAGACACCACCGTGATGGTGTCCATATAAGCACCTATACAGAATTAGAATTTCAACAGGACTGAGTGCCAAAGTAAGTGGCTAGATTTTCAAAAGAGCCCAGCAAGGTGGGTGCCAATCACTTTCTGACATCTTGCCATACGTTTCACAGTGGCAGCAGAGCACTTTTGGAGATCTGGTTCCAATTGTGGGTGCTGAGCAGTTGGGAAATCTGGCCCGCAATTCTTTAGCAAATCCAGTCCTTAGTATCCAGTTAGTTTCACAGTTTCCTCCCCATGCCCAGTCTATTAGTCAGTTTCTCCCTTAATGAAAAGGCCCTTGTCCACATCAATGGGAGAGTAGAAAACACCTTAAAAACAGAGATGACTTTAGAAAAAATAGCAGAAAATACAGTTTGAAATGTGCTCTGTCAGAAATGGGAATATTTTGAAATTAGTCATTTTCCAAAAGGCATCCTGTGAGCTTGACTGTTAAGTGCAATAACATACCAGAGTATCACAGGGTCCTACTACACGAATATTTTCAGCTTTCAATTCCACATTTTGCATCCTATGAAGACTTTTTACCAGTTTCCCTTGCACTTCCACCGCGCTTCCAAAAGTCAGATCTCTGGAAAAAACATCAACAACAACAATGTATCACTATGGGCCTGACATAAAGCCCACTGAATTCAAGGAACCCATGCTGACTTATTTGGGTTAATTTAGATCAAGTCCTACGCTTACCGTATCTATTATCACAAATAGGCAGCTTGTTACAATTTGATTGCTATATTTTATTCACATGGCATGCAATATATCCCCCATGGAAAGAATCTGAGCTCAGCATGTGTGTATCTGAACCCCTGATTCCAAAAGTCTGGATATTTTAAATTATTTGATGTATAAATCACCAAGCTGTCCATCATACAAGAAATAAACTGCACAGGATCTTCTTCTGTAGCTGAAAATTAATGACGCCTAAATGTTTATTTTCATTAGAAGCAAGCTCTCCATGACTGATCCAAGATGAGCCCCAATGTCTGTTCATAAGGACAGGCCTCAAGGTTTGCCAGCCCCTTTGTGCTCTCTCTTGCGCTGAGCCTGCAAAAGTGGTGCCTCAGCTTACTGGTGCAAAAGGCAGGAAAAGACTAAGGAGCTTACAGAAGAGATCCGGTTGAGGAAAGGCTAACATGGCAACCCTAGCTTCTGGTAAGGTACAGCCTGACCTACACAGGAAGAATAAGCGGCATGGGAAGCCACACCATGGAAAAAACACTATGAAACCTGGCCCCAATGAATCAATAGGAATTTTGCCACTGATTTCAGTGGAGACAAAATTTCAATTTACAAGTGCCCCCTACTTCCTACTCCCTTCAGAACCAGTTAACCCAGCTCCTTAACTGATAGCTATTGAACCCACCAAGTGCAACACCCTCAGCAACTGCTGAACGCACTGCCCCTGCAGCACTCACATCCCTGCTGCCACAGCAGGTGAGACACCAGGCCTGGGAATCAATGCCCTTAGTCTAAGATAGGGTGGAGCTGAGCCTTACAACCACATCATCAACCCTTTTCAACCAAGAATCTGCACAGAAATTTCTTTAAATACGTAAAATCTGCAAACCTATGTTCCAAGGTTGGGTCAGCTACAACCTGGAGGCTTTCCAAAGAACTGCCATCATTTATGTGTAGGAACAAAACCTCTTTCTGGGACCGGACAGAACGAACCCAGCCCTGGAGGAGGAAGAAAACAAAAGTTGGTGGTTGCCTTGTTTGAACTCAATCTAGTTATAAGCAGGACCCAACTGACACTGAGCAAGTCATTTCGAGCCTGATCCAACTCCCATTGGAGTCAATGGAAAGATTCCCTTCGGGCCCAATCCCGATTCCAATGAAATCCGTGGTAGTTTTCAAAGCAAGTTGGAGTAGATCCTGAGGGAGAGACACCTCAACATTTCGCCTCAGCACAATAGGGATTCACCTGAGTCACCATGGAGCTGGGAAGATTAAAGTCAGTGACAGACTTTGAAGATGAAAAGCATTCCATAAATGCTATATCATTATGTCCCTTGTAAACACTCCTTATTGCAACAACAGAGACAATCAGAACACCATTCCTTCAAAGGGCAGTGTCATGGTAATTCTCATGTATTGTTATTCTTCACTGCTATGTACAACCATCTGCGGGAAGCCTGAAACTGAAATCTGTTTCCTAATTGGCTATTTGTCCATACCTACTGTGAACACGTACTGCCTTAATAAAGAGGCCAATATCAAGGAGATTAGGTCCAGAACGTAGGCTTTGTTTAAGGGAAAAAAATCAAAACCAATTAATATTACCATTATTTATATTATCATAGCACCTCATCATGGACTAGAACCCATTGTACTACGCACTCTACATATGCAGAATCCATAGAAATGTTTCACTGTTTTGGGTGGTTCTCAAATTAAAACAAAGTTTTCTAGCTGGACTTAAATTTAAAATTAAAAAATTGACAAAACCTTTGTTAGCACAGAGTTAAAGTTGCCTGGTGATAACATACACCCTTCCAGAATGTCCAGTTCAGCAAAACTCACATTTGTGAAAACAAGGAAATCACAGAATTAAGATAAATGCCCATGAAACCTTGATTCTGTCCCCCTGGAGCTAGCAATAGTCCTTAAGAATTATCTTCATGCACTCCAGCTGCATTCACTGTGTGAGGTGTGGCTGTACTGAGTGGTGAAGGAATAAGATACAGCAGCTTAGAAGAGCTCTAATTGTGATACAAGGTGATCTGGGTGACTGTGGCCCTCTGGGGGTGTACGTGAGCTCCTCTTTCTGAGGCCTGTATGTGTGATCAAAGGAAAAAAATGCATATGAACTTTGGGAGATATATCTCATTTCATCACTGTGTTATATAGGCTGTGTCATTAGAAGAGCCCAAAGATCATTAGCAGTGCAGTGGAGATGAGTGTGGCACGGAAGTTTTATTAAGGGGAAGCAAAAGTAGAGCATTTGATGGTATTCTACAGTTCAAGGTCTTGTAAAATGTAGCAGATGCGGTGTTCAATTTGTGGAGCAGGCTAAGTATAGGGCGCTCCTGTTCCCTATAGGGCAAAGGGAGAATGTGAGTATGTGTTACAGGCTTATTGGGGCATCACTCAAAGCCCCTCCTGCCATTGCCCCACTACTGTTTTTAGTGCACTAGCGAGACCAGAACCAGCATGGGTATGTCTCCTCCAGCTGGAATTTACATCTTCAGTTCAAAGGCACGCAGGCAGCCGCAGAGCCCAACCAGCTACTCTGGAGAAGCCTCTGCAAGAAGATGATCTTCAGAAACGGCAGAGCTACAGGAGTAAGAAGAACTTCACAGAAATGACTACGTGAATTAACAACATAAAACCCCCACCGACCTGGACTTTAATATCACGATTCACCTCCTGGGCCCCTAGTGCCTCGCGGACCCTCCGCTTCGCAGCCTGCGCGGGCTTGGGACAAGGAGCAGAGGAACAAGGGCGAAGAGCCAGGAGCAGACACCGGGCCCCAAACATTGCTAAAGGCCTTCCGCACCTGCCCCGCCGCGGCTCCCAGCCGAGACCCGCCTCAGACTCTGCTCCCTCGCCCGCGTGTGGCGCGCCCCTCCTGCCTCCCGACGCCACTCCCACGTCTGTCTCCCCACGCACCCTACCGCGCCCGCCAGCCCCCTACAGCCGCCCCTCCGGGCAACGGAAAGAGACTCCACGCAGCCTCCGCTGCCCTGTTCTCAGGTGCCCCCGCCCTACCCCCAGGGCCAGCTGCGCCCCGCCCCGCCGCCCCCTATCTCCAGAGGGCTCCGAGGCCCAGCTGCCCCTACTCGTCCTGTCTCGCGGTGGGCCCTGCCCCGCGGCTCCAGGAGGCCAGGGCCCGCCCAGGCCGCCGCAGCCGCTCTGCCCGGAGGAGGGGGCGGGGGAGGAAAGCGCCCGGGGCCCCGGCCCGCTCTACCCACGTGAGGCCAAAGCAAGCAGGCGGCAGCACTCGCCGCGTCCCGCGCGCTCACGTGACCCCGCGCGGCCAAGGTCGCCGCAAGGGGCCTCGACGAACCAATCAGGAGGCGAGGCGATGTCCGGAAGTACCTCCCATAGGCGCAAGGTGCTCTGGGAAGTGTAGTTCGCGGCTCAGAGGCCGGGTTGCGTGCGGGGCGGGGCCGCCTCCTGTGGAGACCCCGGCGGGGTCGGGTCAGGTGTTGCCGAGAGGAGACGTATTATACAAATGAGCTACTTTATATGCAAATGATATGTAACGTGGTGAGGCAAAAGAAGGACGCAGGGCTCGAGCTGGTGGAAGCGCCGCGGGCTCGGAGGGAAGCGGGCTCCGGACTCCTGGGTCCCAGCCCCAGAGCCCGGGCGCGAGACGGGGCTCCGGACTCCTGGGTCCCAGCCCAGGCAGGGGCGAGAGATCCTGTTGGAGCAGGGCAGGAGTCAGGACCCCTGGGCTCTGTTCTTGCTCCGCCACTAATCCCTGCCTAACCTCTGGGCAAGAAGACCCCATCTCTGCGCCTTCCTTGCTCATCCTAGGCAAGGGAGTTAACAATTTTTGACTCTCTACCCCTGTACACTGCTCTGAGTCCCCTGGGGTGAAAGGCAGCTCTCCAGGGGCCAAGTGCTGTTAAGAGGCAGGGGTGGGACAAAGTGGGTTAAATTAACACACGCGCCTCTTGTGTCCGAGCTGCTTGGCTACTCGTTCGGCCCAGTTTGTACTTCCCTCTACAGAAACTTCTTCCTCTGAGTTTTGCAAAGAAGTTCTCATTCTGGGGGGGAATCCCAGTGAGACCTAGGTCTTCCTGGCCTCGCTTTTCCTGTATTCTTCCCCTTCTGAGCTGCAGTGGCTTTGGGGGCTGGGAGCTGCTGAGCCGGACCTCTAACAGAGTTACTGATGATGTGCTGAGAAACCACATGCCTCATTGCACAGACCCTCCAGGTGAGAAAAGAGTTGGTGAGCAGAGTCCCCAGCACTGGGAAAGAAGCCCCATTGGGCTCTGAGAAAGGGGAGGAGAAAAGCTTTTAATCTGCCCAGCTTTGATGATTTGCTGTTTCTCTTGTAATGCCTTCACTCACACTAAGTGCCTCTTCTCCCTCCAGCTTCTTCTGCTGCTTTACAGCCCCTCCTCTTAATTTGCCCCCAAATAGCTGATGCCTCCACATGCTACAGAAGGCCCAGGTGAATTCAGGGCTTTGAGTTTCTCTTGAAAGACCAACAAGAGGATATAGGAATCTGGGGCAGAGGAATCAGTCTGGGGCAGGCGTAGTATTCTAGTGTAGCCAGTCCTGTGATCTGGCCCAACCGACCTCCCTAAGAGGTCAGTTCTCCAGTTCCACTGAATTTTCTGGGAGAGATACAGGTAATAAACACATTTTTGGAACAAATTGATAAACAGTAATAAGTCACCAGGACCAGATGGTATTCAACCAAGACTTATGGAAGAACTCAAATATGAAATTGCAGAACTACTAACTGTGGTATGTAACATCATTTAAATCAGATTCTGTACTAGATGACAGGTTTCAGAGTAGCAGCCGTGTTAGTCTGTATTCACAAAAAGAAAAGGAGTACTTGTGGCACCTTAGAGACTAACCAATTTATTTGAGCATAAGCTTTCGTGAGCTACAGCTCACTTCATCGGATGCATAAAGTGGAAAATGCAGTGAGGATTTTTTATACACACAGACCATGAAAAAATGGGTGTTTATCATTTCAAAAGGTTTTCTCTTTTCCCACCCCACTCTCCTGCTGGTAATAGCTTATCTAAAGTGATCACTCTCCTTACAATGTGTATGATAATCAAGTCATTTCCAGCATAAAATCCAGGGTTTAACAAGAACGTCTGAGGAACAGTGGGGGGGGGAGGGTTAGGAAAAAACAAGGGGAAATAGGTTACGTTGCATAATGACTTAGCCACTCCCAGTCTCTATTCAAGCCTAACCTCAGCCTGGACCAGTCCACACAAGAGATCCACTTCCTGGACACTACGGTGCTAATAAGCGATGGTCACATAAACACCACCCTATACCGGAAACCTACTGACTGCTATTCCTACCTACATGCCTCCAGCTTTCACCCAGACCACACCACACGATCCATTGTCTACAGCCAAGCTCTACGACACAACCGCATTTGCTCCAACCCCTCAGACAGAGACAAACACCTACAAGATCTCTATCAAGCATTCTTACAACTACAATACCCACCTGCTGAAGTGAAGAAACAGATTGACAGAGCCAGAAGAGTACCCAGAGGTCACCTATTACAGGACAGGCCTAACAAAGAAAATAACAGAACGCCACTAGCCGTCACCTTCAGCCCCCAACTAAAACCTCTCCAACACATTATCAAGGATCTACAACCTATCCTGAAGGACGACCCATCACTCTCACAAATCTTGGGAGACAGGCTAGTCCTTGCCTACGGACAGCCCCCCAACCTGAAGCGAATACTCACCAGCAACTACATACCACACAACAGAACCACTAACCCAGGAACCTATCCTTGCAACAAAGCCCGTTGCCAACTGTGCCCACATATCTATTCAGGGGACACCATCACAGGGCCTAATCACATCAGCCACACTATCAGAGGCTCGTTCACCTGCACATCTACCAATGTGATATATGCCATCATGTGCAAGCAATGCCCCTCTGCCATGTACATTGGTCAAACTGGATAGTCTCTATGTAAAAGAATAAATGGACACAAATCAGATGTCAAGAATTATAACATTCATAAACCAGTCGGAGAACACTTCAATCTCTCTGGTCACGCGATTACAGACATGAAAGTAGTGATATTACAAAAGAAAAACTTCAAAACCAGACTCCAGCGAGAGACTGCTGAATTGGAATTAATTTGCAAATTGGATACAATTAACTTAGGCTTGAATAGAGACTGGGAGTGGCTAAGTCATTATGTAACGTAATCTATTTCCCCTTGTTTTTTCCTACCACCACCCCCCCCCCCCACTGTTCCTCAGACGTTCTTGTTAAACCCTGGATTTGTGCTGGAAATGGCCCACCTTGATTATCATACACATTGTAAGGAGAGTGATCACTTTAGATAAGCTATTACCAGCAGGAGAGTGGGGTCGGGGGAGAGAAAACCTTTTGAAGTGATAAACACCCATTTTTTCATGGTCTGTGTGTATAAAAAATCCTCACTGCATTTTCCGCTTTATGCATCCGATGAAGTGAGCTGTAGCTCACGAAAGCTTATGCTCAAATAAATTGGTTAGTCTCTAAGGTGCCACAAGTCCTCCTTTTCTTTGTACTAGATGACTGGAAGGTAGCTAATGTGACACCAACTTTTTAAAAAGGCTCCAGAGGTGATCCTGGCAATTACTCGTTTGAAACTATAGTAAAGAACAGAATTATCAGAAACATAGATTAACATGATTTGTTGGGGAAGAGTCAACATGGTTTTATAATGGGAAATCATGCCTCGCCAATCTACTAGAATTCTTTGAGGTGGTCAACAAGCATGTGGACAAGGTGATCCAGTGGATATAGTGTACTTAGACTTTCAGAAAGCCTTTGACAAGATCCGTCACCAAAGGCTCTTAAGCAAACTAAGTAGTCATGGGATAAGAAGAAGTATCCTCTCATGGATCAGTAACTGGTTAAAAGATAGGAAACAAAGGGCAGGAATAAATAGTCAGTTTTCAGAATAGAGAGAGGTAAATAGAGGTGTCCCCCAGGGGTCTGTAGGCTACTCACCTGTGTCCTACTGTTACAGAGACCATTCCTGTGATGTCTCTCCAGTGCTCCTGGATGAAAGGCAGGGAAGGTCCCTGCTGGCATATCCTTCATCCGCTCCTCGTGTTGAGGTAGAAGTTTTGCCTCAGCTCAACCATGGGTCAGGCAGGCAGGCTCAGCACTGACACTGGGTCAGGAGGCAGCAATATTACTGTGACTTTGGGTTTATTAACAGTTTTGCTGGTTAAACCCTGAATAGTTGGATGGTTTGGGGTTTTTTGTTTTTTGTTTGTTTTTTTTTTTGCTCAGATACCAGAGTGCTGAGTGCACGTAAGAAACTATGTACGATGGATGAGAAGCCTGGAGCTGCCTAAAGTCAAAGACAGGGAGCGTATGAGATATTAACATGAACTTCAGACTCTTGAGTCAGCTCTTCACTCAGTGCAAACGGGCACAGCTCCATTGGCTTCAGCAGAGCTATGCTGACTTCTACCAGCTGAGCATCTGGGCCTTGATCTCCACTGACACTCTCTTGAAGGGGATTGGTCAGTTATACACACAGGGAGACGTGAACTCTCTTCTAGTAACTTCTCTGAACAAGTGCGTTAAAGCCACCTCCAGCTGCTGAATTTCTCAAGAGAAAGTTAGTTTTGGTATGAACCCAGAATCCTGAGCGGGGTCACATCCCTTTGTCCATCTGGCAGCTGTTAGTTAGATTGTCTGTGACAGACAAGATTTGCTTTCTGCTGAAACCAAGCTGCCTTTCCCCAAACTACTCCAGTTCTCTAGGAAAGTGGCTCTGAACCTTTCCAGACTACTGTACCCCTTTCAGAAGTTTGATTTGTCTTGCCTGCCCCAAGTTTCACCTCACTTAAAAACCAGTTGCTTACAAAATCAGACATAAAAATACAAGTGTCACAACACACTATTACTGAAAAATTGCTTACTTTCTCACTTTTACCATATAATTATAAAACAAATCAATTGGAATATAAATATTGTACTTACATTTCAGTGTATAGTATATAGAGCAGTATAAACAAGTC